ATTTAATTAAATTTTTCGTAATATTTTAGTACTTAATAATCGAAGCTCTAATGAGGAAGCAGTAGATCGTTCTTGTTATGCGTTAACATTGAATATATTGAAATAAAAATCTTGAGAGAGACAAATCCTTTAACTCAACAGTTAATAATTGATATTATTAAAGCTCAACAAAATCTTATAGAATTCAAATTGACCGAGAATTGGATTTATCCAACAAACATCATGACATCTTTGGAAGTTCACGCCAATCATATTACTGCTTTAGGACTATTTTCTTTTCTCTTTGATGATACTTCGATTAAGATTTTATCCAGGTTCACATGTCTGGAATCACTTCAACTTCACAATTGTAGTTGTATTGAAAAGTATCCAAACAGAATTTTATCAAACGCAGTGTTTAATTTAAAGTCTCTTTTCATAGTCAGCACTCCTTCAAGTCTAACTACTTCAATAATCGCTAAAGCAGGCCATATGTTACAATTATTAGTTATGGATTGTGTGAATAGCGATATGATCGATTTTGCTTCAAAATATTGTCCAAATATTTCCATGTTGTATGTTGAGTTGACTCAGAGCGATTATACACTTTTGTTTCCTTGGATTGGATCACTGCAGTTGGAGACACTTGAAATTAAATGTTCTGTTGAATCTCGTAATAGAACTCATTTACTTAGTGCAAATGATAGTGGAAAATTTTTGCAACTTTTAAGCCAGCATTTACCTTTGACATTGACTTTTTTGAGATTAGAAGGAATGGAAATTTTGCCAGAAGATTTTAATAATTTCTCAAAGGATTGTAATGTTCCTTTACAAACATTTATTATCCAAGGCATCTTGAAACATTATAATGATGATGAAGTACTTTGTTTAATCTCTCAATTTGCCACTTTACACAAAACCTTGGAACTTTTCGGTATCGATCGCGAAGTTATCCCTCAAAAGTGGTCAAAGAAATTGAAAAAACTTGGGATTGAGATCTTTTCTATTGATGATTTTGAAACATTATATAAAAGTTATTGATTCATTTTAGCATAATATTGCACAGTTTTATGCTTAAACTTTATCTACAACTTTTCCTTGAATCACTTATTCAGCCCAATGTAAAAAAACCCCATATCCCTAAATTAAGTGCTTCAATTTATTTCAATATAGAAGTTGTTTCGGTTATTTTATAATCATTTAATAAATCTAAATAAAAAAAAATAATAATTGACATTGTATTTAAAAACATGTTTCATTTACTGTAACTTGTCATTTCATTTATTTAATTTAGAAAACTAAATATTGAATCTTATACTGTATTTATTGATATCGTGCCAATGCATAAATATGTATTATATTGTAAAACAAGAACGATCTACTGCTTCCTCATTAGAGCTTCGATTATTAAGTACTAAAATATTACGAAAAATTTAATTAAAT